ATCTTCTCGTCACGGATGCTGACCGAGGAGCGGGCGCGCGGTCGGCTCAGTGAGCCGCCGCTGCTGCCTAGGTCAGCCCACGACTTGGTGGGGCTGGAGGTGGAGAACTTGCGGCGCAGCATTTCCATCTTGCTGCCGCGCCGCGGCGCCGCCGCCTTGGCCGGCGACTTCAGGCTCAGCTGGTCGATCAGGTGGCTGATGTCAGTGTCGCTGTCGGCGTCCTCGGGCGGCGTCCTCCCGCCGGCGGCCGCCGACGGCTTCACTGGGCGGGCGGGTGAGCGGCCCTCGCCGCCCCGGGCTCCGGCGGCTCCTGGTGACGGTCTCCCCGGTGCCGGAGCAACGGCTGCTCGGCCGGTGCCACGGACCGCCAGGGAGTTCGCTGGTGCGACGGACGGTCGTCCCCGGCCAGCACCCTGACGAACCGACGCGGGCTCACCTCCACCACCGTCGCGCACTGGCGCGGACGGGAGTGGCTTGGAGACGGCTGGCGACTTGAGCCACGGCGAGGCGGCAGAGCGGTTGATGGCTGGAGAGCCACCAACGTGCTGCTCAGTGGTAGTGGCCGCAGTGCCAGGTTTGCTGCCTGCTGCAAACTCTTTCCGAGCTGCACGGAGCTCACGTAGATAATCCTGAAGCCATGCATACTTACTCAATGAGTGCTGTTTAAAACCAGTGATGAAAGGTCACCAGCATCAATCAAATAATAAAATTTGTATAATGTTAGAAACTGTCTGTCTGCTCAAGAAATGTGAGGAAATTTGCCCTCATTATTTAAAATGAGGACCCAATTAGGTAAACAGAAGTACACAAATAAATAATCTTGACTATCACACAAATTTCACACCTTTTATTTTACCCTGTTGAGTTTACACCGGCTGCTCACACTTATCAATTAATAATGAGACACACATCCAGGCATCCCAGGGTGAAATAGTTGCACACATTTTGTGAATTGCTAAATATTGATTTACCACACATTTTACTAAATGTTAAATATTAATTTATTTGCTTGAGTTCCAGATCTTAACACGATTTAGAAGAAACATCAGGGCTGGCAGCATTACCTGAACGCTTGTCATGTTCTTGGCCTAGGTGAAAACGCCTATTTCATGGTTGAGCCATTCCCTCTCGTCCCACGAGCGTCCCTGTCACTCCAACCGTTACAAGAATACATCATCATTTTCCACGTCCGCACTTAATTATTTTACTCGTCTTAGTGCATCCCGTCAGCCAGTTTTGAGTAGTGGATCACGGGATCTCGACGCCGTCCTGAGTCACCCACGTATGCACCTGCACCCGACTTTACGGCAACTGCAATATTGAGCTGAATCGTGCAAGCGGCGTTTTGGAACACAGCTACGAGATCCTTCATATCTTTGGGAAATATTCCTTCGGCACACCAAAAACCTTTTTGGCTCATGCTGTTTAGCAGATATGTGCCTGCATCAAAAGGGTAGATCCATAATTCCAACAAATTCCATGTTAATTGGATTCTGTGATGGGATCTTGGAATTTTTAGGTTGGAATACAGTCATACGTCCGTTGTTTAGTACCCTCACTGTTTTTGGAAGGGCACATGGTAGGGCCATGTGCCCATATTTTTGGAAGGGCCAACAAATAGGAGCCCATATTCTCTCCTGTAGAAAGTTCAAACACGGCGCAGGATAGACGCAGGAACCCGCGTCAGTGTACGCGTGTGCGCAGAAAGGAAGCGTGGCGGAGCGGTGCGTTGGACTGGGAGAGACCAGGCACGTGCGGGAGATGCTCGTGATTGGTACTTCATCCGAGAAACACCGATTAATCTGAAGATCGGTCAGATTGAATAGCTGGGAAGCAGCTCTTTGAGGTGAATATAATTTGTTCGTTGGTGGTAAGTAGGTATCGATAGGTTGTAGTCATTAGCCATGGAGTGACGTCCTCGGGCTCAGATAGTAAACGTCACTAAGACATACCTTAAGTGACATGAAATAATGCATCAAAATTATTGAATCTTTTATTCCAGTGTCAATAGGCAGGACTAGAGCTTATGGCTGTGATAACCATTCATAACATATATAAAGGCTCCTAACTACCATGTGCTCCATTCTGAACTTGTGGATGGCCATGTATTCATTCCAAACATTGTTGATGTGCCCTAAAACTCCAGTCATCATTATAATTCTGAGCATTTCTTCATTTCGCCTTTAGAAGAGGATGTTTTTAAAATGGTTTGTAATGGTATCTTCCTACATGGATTGGTCCCTGTCACACTTCTTGATGGTTTGTTCCTGTCTCTGGCCTTAAAATATTGTCCTGGTCCCCTGCACTGGTCATGTCTATTTGTTCTTGATTCCAATTCATGTGACAGTGATGTTTCATAAGATGTTTACTTTGTTGCTATCATGTGAATGCCACTGCATTGTGTTTGGCAGTGTATGGTTATGTGTGTGTGCATGTCTGGTATGCAGGTGTGTCAATGCATGTACTTCTGTTCTCTGCTCCAAATGCAGGTTCATGCAGCTTCTTTTTCAGTAAATCATAATTGTTCACCATGCCTTCATTAAGATAGCTTGCAAAGCACCATCAGGACCAGCAATATATTTTTAATCCAGATAGCTTTAGTAGCAGTAAACCTCAGCAATATCTTGCATTATTGACATGACATATGGAAGCCATAGAGCTTGTGAGAGTTTTATTATGCCCAAAACTTCTGTGGCTGTTCCAATATGGAGGCATCTGCATCATGTGGGTTTAACCAAGTAGCTTTAACCATTAAGTGGCAACCTTAAACAATGATGCCTTTTCATTTGAAATTTAGCGAAAACAAGTTTGCACCACTTTGCCACAATACAATTTTGTCCAACCTGTTACATTTGCTAACTGGCTAGTGGCTCTTTATCATTGAATGTTTTTCAGATTCTGGTATTTCTGATTACATTTGGTCAGGTAGTCTTGCTTGCATTAATGACCAATTTGTCATATTGCCTGGCCAAAGCAATACATAAACCTTGGTAAGAATCCATTTATTTCATTGAAAACTGCACATGCAAGTAAAGCAGAGTTATTGGTGTGAGTAACTTGGCAGCCCTTGCCTGGAACTTGATTTTATCATCCCCTAAGGCAGGGGTTAATTTCAGTCTGTCTTGCGCATTCTGTTTTGACCCATCCATTCTATGAATTCACATAGACAGACGAAACCCATCACTTTCCCAGCATCAGCAATGGCAAAAACCAAGAAACCAGGCAAGAAGGGAGTGGGCCATGCAGAAAAAGTAGCTAGCATCAAGAGCAAGGAAAGGGCAATTAATCCATTTGAAATCCATTTCAACAAACAAAAGCATACTGTCCTGGGTCAACATCTTCCTGGTGAGAAAGGAAAACCAGGGATATCCAAGGCCAAAGCTCAGAAAAAGGTGGGTGATTATGGAACTTACAATCAGTACATATATATTTTATCTCAATATCAGTCATCAAAAAAGATGTCACTCGGGAGGTTCTTCTTTTAGCGGGGTCTTGGTTTGTGCGTGTGTTTCATGCTTCTTTCCAGAAATTTTCCTGACAGATTGCCCTCTTAAAGTTTTCTCGTGTTTTTGTATGGATATCTATTTTGGCAGCATTTTGTGGGTTATCGTCAGCTAGTTGGTGACATGAATTGGGGTAATCACACACTGAACAATCATAAGGTCCAGCCATATGACATGTTTGTATTTCATGCCGCTAAATACATGCTTCTCACAGAGGAAATTGACGTTGCTGCGAGAGTTGAAAACCAGGACCAAATCCAATGAATTTTTGGATCGTCGCATTGGTGAGAAGACCAAGGGTATGTCGGTGGAGGACCGCCTGGCAGCCAGGTTCGCCGCCGAACGCAAGAAGCAAAACAAGCAGGTGGGTCGGGGTCTCCTCAAGTTAGCGCCCATCTGTATCTAATGGTGAGCAGGCAGTGAGAGTGGTGCTTTAAGGGTCATATGCTAGGCAGAACATGAATGTTGTGGACGACCTTGTTCACAAGTGGTGCTGAACAGCTATCGTCGCGCCGCACGACGATCGCACGGTCTAACGCACTTTAGATGCACCTGACAGGGAAGCCGAGCCCTCGACTGGCAGCGGTCACTAGGGGCATCGCTTTCAGTCCAACATCTCCTCCTGTCTGTCCCAGATCAGATGTCGCTCTACAACCGGGCATGGTCACATTTGCAGTGAAAGGTCGTCGCCTTTTAATCTGCGCGGGGATCTCACCTAAAATTAATGCGAGTATATCCGTGCATTTTGTCTGGCCTGACTGGAACAAAGCCATTATTAGGTTCTGTCAGACCTTTCAACGTTACGTGACGAAGTAGCTCATGTTTATCAGGACAGCGCTCTTTGGATGGCTGAAGCGGTTCTGTGGAAAGCCCGAGTCGTATCCCACTCACGTCCCTAAAGCAGCAATGCTTCCTGGCTGCGGTGTACCACAAGGTCCTCTGAGGCAGTGATGATAACAGATGGTCGGCCGCCGGCAGACCCTCTTCAACCTGGAGGAGACCACCGAGCTGACGCACATGGGCCAGACGCTGAGCGAGATCGAGAAATACGAGGACCCGCGCAGCGACGACGAGGGCGACGACGCACTCGGAGGTAGGCCACCGCGGCGTCGGGTCCGTCCGATTCGGCGGCGACTTGGGACGCCCCGGTCAGCCCCTCGGCGTTACCCAGCTCGTAGCGCGAACTCGCGTGCCGCAGGCAGACAGGGGTGCCGCTGCCGCAGCTCTGCTGGCTGCTGGCGATGTAATGCTCGGTTTGGGCCTTCATTGGTGCCGGTTTTGCGGGATCGCCTCCCGCCAGCGGTCGTTGATATCGTGCGGTACGTGACGTGGCGCCGCTCGCCCTAACGGCTCCCGCCCCGCAGCCGAGTTCGTCAAGTCGGCCCACTTCGGCGGCGGACTGCTGGCCTCGGGCGGCCCCAACTCCGCCCAGAGCCGCAAGGAGTGGATCGATCAGATGATCGCCGACAGCAAGAAGCGCAAATACGACGCGCGAAAGGCCCGCGAGGAGACGCTCGAGATGACCGACAAACTGGACGACGACTACAAGCAGGTCATGCAGATCTTCAAGGACGCCGACCTCATGCGTGAGTAGAGGGGTCCTCCTGATGACGGGTAGTAGATCGGTCGGTATGGAGGCTGGCAAGACTCCCAGCGGCTGGGTGTGTGCCATGGTCAGGCAGTTCTTGCAAACAGTCGGCCGCGGTTTTATTGGAGGTGTTTGAAGTGCATCTGGCAAGCCGCAGCACACCTCGACGTGATTGTATGTAATGTTGGCCAACATGGCACCGGTAGTACTGCATTTTTATCAACAACCCCAACTAGATTAATTAAACGGGCGTCTGGTGAGTCTCCGGTACAACACCGCCTAAACATACTATCCATTCAGTCAGCTTGCGGCCATGCGTGGGCCGTGCGAGGTGTTGCCGTGTCGGCGCGCGACCTGAGCCGTCGTGGCGCCTGCCGACAGGCCCGACCCGGGCGAAAGAGCGGACGCGAGAGCCGAGCCCCGAGCCGGCACCGGCACCGGCACCGGCACCGGCAGCGGCAGCGGCAGCGGCAGCCGCCGCCGCCGCGCCCGACCCCTCCGACGAGTACGACATGCTCGTGCGCCAGCTGGCCTTCGAGCCGCGCGTCGGGGTACGTCAGTGACGTCAGCGCCGGCTGTCGCAGCTCGGTGGTCAGCGACCGGTGCTCAGCTGCAACGCGACCGTAACCTGACTGTAACGCAACAACTGTAACGTGTCGAGGACCTTGCTTGACCGTCGGTCTGTGTGTTTGCTCCAAGCACAAAGCAAGATCGTGAGTGAGTCATGTTGCCTATTTACGGATCAAACGGTCGCTCTGTGCACCGTTTCGCGCCCCTCCCTACTGCGTGCTGTGCGCGGCTCTGTGACTCGCCTTCGCCCTGGCAGGCGTCGGAGCGGACCAAAACGGACGAGGAGGTGAAGCGAGGAGGCGACACGGCTCCGCTTGCTGGAGGAGGCGCGCCAGCTGCGCATGCGCGCTGACCCGGAGGAGGCGGGCGGGGCGCGGCCGGCCGTCCACCGCAGCGCCGATGACCTGGACGACGGGAGAGCTGGCGGGCGCGGGGCACCAGCGGGGCGTCTGTTTCGAGAGGTCTACCGCCGCTGGGGGGGGGGGGGGGGCACGGGATAGTCAGGGCGGGGAGAGAACTGCTGGACGGAGTGGCTCCTGTGAGTGGTGTGGGAGGGCCGGGCACGCTGCTCGTGTGAGTGGGGATAATATTTCATGCTCCTAAATCATTTGTTCGTCCCATACCTGGTATGCGGTTGCACGAGTTATTGTGGGCTGTCACTACCGGTCTCAGATGTCAGACAGGCTTCTCTGGGATGAGGGTCAATATCATGCGCTCGTTCCTGTATACCATCCCCCATCTGTGCCGAAGCTATCCGTCCCTAGTAGCCACCCTCCGCGCGGCCCCGTCTGCCGCTCGCTTGCCGTGACCTGCGCCGTCCACCGGTCGCCGCAGGTTCCTGCTGGACGCCAAGCCGCAGCAGCGTCTTGAGCTGATCGGCGATCAGCTGGTGGTGACGTCAGAGTTTGCCGGACGTGCCGCTGACGGGCCGCCAGGCCAAGAAGCGCCAGAGCCGGCTACAGCGGCAGCGCGACGCGGAGGAGGAGGCCGAGCAAACGCCTCCTGAGACAGGTTAGTCTCCGGCTGCAGCGGCAGTGTGACGCCGAGGAGGAGGCCGGGCAGACACCTCCTGAGACAGGTTAGTCTCCGGCTGCAGCGGCAGTGGTGACGCTGAGGAGGAGGCCGAGCAAACACCTCCTGAGACAGGTTAGTCTCCGGCTACAGCGGCAGTGTGACGCTGAGGAGGAGGCCGAGCAACACCTCCTGAGACAGGTTAGTCATCGGCTGCAGCGGCATGGCCGCACACAGCGCGAAGATGTATTTTTATGCTTAAAAGTGGAACGCCTTATGGTGCCGGTGTGTCCCGTCATGCAGGATATGTCATGGCTGCAAGGACATCATATCTGCGCTAAGGCACCAAACTGCCAATCGGAAATTAAACGCCGGCCTCCCACGGAGAACATCCGCGGCGTCTCTTGAATCACCAGATGTAGAAGCTATTAGATCTATCTTATTGGCCTAAATTTCATCTCATCGGTAATCACAAGCAAGTTTTGTTCTAACCGGTCGCCGCTTTCGATAACGGAAAAACGCACTACTCGCAGTTCACAGACCAGTATATGGCGTTGAAAGTTTGCGAGTTTCGTGTCATACTGGTCAGGTCGTGTCTCACTGTATTCAGTTTGAGCTTGTGCATATGAGATGTATCGTTTTGGTGAGGCCGTCAAACTACCGTTCCGTTTAGAAGATCCTGACCCTACCTTTGATTCGTTTTCAGTCACGCCCCCTAAAGCCAAGCTTCCGACCTACAAGAAGCTCAGCGCCACCCTCCGGGCCCTGCTGCCGCTCGAGCAGACGCGTCACCTGACCGAGCTTGTGACGTCGCTGGATCCGCAGCTGTCGCCGGGCAACAAGGCGCTGCTCATCTCCCTGTACGAGATGCTCCTGCGCTACATCGGCGACTGCTGCCGCCGCTCGGGCGCCGCGGCAGACACCGGTTCGCCGGCGCGGACAGGTGGCGCTGCGCGCGGTGGACGCACTCGTTCCGCTGCTGTACGACCTGACGCAACGGCTGGGCGACGCGGCGTACCTGAGCTGGGTGGCGTGGCTGCGGCGGCGGCAGGCGTACGGCCGGCGCCGGCGACGCTCCTTCCCCGGCCTAGAGACGCTGCTGCCGCTGCGGGTGTGTGGCCAGCTGTTCCCCAGCTCTGACCGCCGCCACCCGGTCACCATGCCGGCCATGTTGATGCTGTGCCAGATGCTGGCGGAGTGCCGCGTCACCTCGCGCCGCGAGCTGGCCGCTGGACTCTTCGTCGTCTCGCTTCTGAATGAGGTCAGTGCGGGTGGGGGGTCCAGTGTTCCAATTTCGGCCCCTGGGCTGGCATGGATGTCGATATCTTTTCATGCTATGACACCCCGGCCTTGGGCTCACTGGCTGTGGTCCTCCCCTTTCTCAAAATTGGCCATCAGCATCGAACCGCGCGGCTGTCAAACCAGTTCTATATGCTTCAGGCTTGACAAATGGGCTGAGTAGGTTAGATGTCTAGGTCGTGGTCAAAAGGCAATAGATTAGCGCCAACAGATTGCGTGCGGGGACCGCTGGAGAGGCAGGGTTCTGGTGGCATGAATATATTTACATCCTTAACACCCCACTGGATGAATTTTGGAACGCTGGGGGGGAGGGGGGGGGGGGCGCTCGGCGATGTCTCGCTTTTGTTATGGGACTGAAAAAACCCTGCTGGGGAACATTTCGTCTCCGAAATGACTTCTACTACGCCCGCTGTCGTTGCTGTCTAACCGGTATAAATAAGAGCTTATGTGGGGCCAGAAATGTTGCGCTCTCTTTGATAAGATCTCATCTGACAGTTCTTCTGACCGACTCGGCACTCAAATAGTGGCGGGACATCCCTCGTGTGGCCTGTTTGATCACGTGGCTCACCGCGGCGGGTGGCTGGCGTTTCTTCTTCTGCGCGAGCGACGGGCGGCGCGCCGCCCTCCCGCCGGTGACGGGCGCGTCTGACCGAGACACCTCGCGCCCGCCGCAGTTCACGAGCCTGGCCAGCCCTACGTGCCGGAGGTGATCGGCTTCCTGCAGAGCGTGCTGTTCACGGCTGTGCCCAGCGAGCGCCAGGCGCCGCTGCCGGCCACGTGCTGCTACCCCAGCTGCCGCGCGGACCCCACTCCGCCTGCTGCAGCTAACCACCAGGTGGGCAACGGCTCGCCGCTGCCGGCTGCTGGGCTCTGGCTCCCAGCCAGGAGCCCATCAGGCATGGGACGACTGGGCGTGTAGGACAAGGGGAACAGATGGTGTGCGTAATGTGACGTGGGACGGCTAACGGTGTCGCCGCTCCTGCTTGAATGTGAATGCAATGGACAAATCAGTCGGTGTGCCATTGTTTTGTCGTGAGGTCCTGCTGCTGTCACCAGTGTTCGATTACCCTTCTCTCGCCCTTTCTGTGTGTCATCAGTACTGTGCTGGTGACCGCCACCCTCTGCTGACATACCACCTCTCCCATCTGCTGACCTGCACTCTCCCATATGCTGACTTGCCCTCTCCCATCTGCTGACTTACCCTCCTCCCTCTGCTGACCTGCCTTTCCTCACCTCGGCTGCGCCGGCAGCCTCTGTGTATCTCCCTCTGCTAATCCCCATTCTCCCTGCAGCTGCGCCGGTGACTTCTGTGGTCCCCTACCCTTCCCCCCCCCCCCCCGCTACCTGCTCCGCTCCCCGGCAGCTGCACCGACGACCTCTGGTCCTCTGCCCCTTCTCCGCTGACCTGCCCCCTCCCCGGCAGTTGCGCCGGCGGGCCGTGTGAGCCGCTGCCCCTCCCCCGCGACCTGCCCCCTCCCCGCTCCGGCAGCTGCGCCGGCGGGCGTGTGAGCCGCTGCCCCTCCCCCGCTGACCTGCCCCGCTCCCCGGCAGCTGCGCCGGCGGCCGTGTTGCCGCTGCCCCTCCCCGCCTCTGACCTGCCCCGCTCCCCGGCAGTTGCGCCGGCGCGCCGTGTGAGCCGCTGCCCCTCCCCTGCTGACCTGCCCCGCTCTCCGGCAGCTGCGCCGGCGCGCCGTGTGAGCCGCTGCTCTCACTGTCAGCCGTCGAGTCAGGCGCCGCTGACGGACGCAGCGCGCGCCTCCTGCCTGCACGTGGCCGCCTCGCTGGTGCGCCAGCTGGCCGAGCGGCACGGCCAGCTGCCGGCCGCCTCCGAGATCTTCGGCCCGCTCCGGCTTATGATGGCCGCCGTGGACGTCAGGAGGTGGGCTGCGCCATCTGCTGCGGATGGTCACGGTCCGGGGGTCACCCGGGACGCGTGGTGAACACTTGTGCTGACCACTTGACCTCCACCTACGGTAGTGATCGTGGGTCGGTGAGGGAGGACAGCTTGGCGCGAGCGCGGCATAGTTACTTTAGCAACGGAATGGTAGATGTAAAGCTCGGTGTTTCGGTACGGTATAGATCAGGGTATCTTAAGATTGCGTATGGCTATAGATGGCTAGATGGCTATATAGATGGTTATATTTGGCATTGCAAGCATGTATGTTTTACGAACACGTTACGGGTGATCATGCTCTTTTGTCATCCTTCATAATATGGCGAAGCTAGCTCTGATTTCGTTTAGTTACCACTTGCGCTAGCAGGGCGTGATTGAGAAAGGTGCTGACGTCCATTTTTCTACGTGGATGATGATTTTGCGATCGCCGTGCTCGACGTATGTTTTGATCAACATATCGTTCCTTTTCCCAGATACCCCGACGTTTTGCGCAACAAGTGGACGGCGTGTCTGAAGACACTAGAAGGGATTAGCTCTGAGAAAACCACCCTGGAAAAGAATAAAAAGACCTAAACCCCTCCGTTTGTACGAGCCTGCTATAGAAGAGAAGTAAGTGGCTACCGAAACTGTGCATTGGTCGCATCATGTGTCGCAGCAACGTGATGGCTTTGGTTAATAGGTTAACTTCCTGGAGCGGTTTGCCAATTCGGAATATGTGCTGGTCTGTTTGTGGCCCGTTACTGGATGATAGTCTTGAGTTCGGTACCTATCCTCCAAAAAGCGTTCTGTCGTCGTACTAGTGCTGTATGCGGCGGGCCGTGGTTACCCTGACGTGTGCTATATCCACCGGCGTTTTCAGTCTCCACGGGCATGTGACATATAAGCTGGCCCCGTGTCATATCCCGGATCTATAACGTGTCGATGCCGCTTGCTTGACCCGAGCCGCGTCCGGCAGCTTTGACGGCCGGCGGCGGCGGCCGGGCTCGCACGAGAAGCGAGAGCACGACAAGCTGGTGCACAAGTACAAGCGACAGATGCGCTCGACAGTGCGCGAGGTGCGCCGCGACAACGCCTTCGTGGCGCGCCAGAAGCTGACCGAGATCAAGACCAAGTGAGTAGGGCCGCGGCGCCGACGGGGGCGCGGGAGGGAGCTGCGGTTGGCTGCCGTCGGGTCGTCTGCGGACGAGATCAGTCGTGATACAACCGATTAGGGCTGGTGAAAACATAGCGTATGGCTGGTGAAAACAGTAGAAAACATAGTGTGAAACCATAGCGTGAAAACATAGTATATCACACCATGAAACCATAGTGTAACATGGATTTAACATAGATAATGTGTAAACACCCGATTTCTTAGCCGTGGGATGGGGCAACACGCAAATCCGTATCGTATTTGCGTGTTTGGACCTGTTTCCACAGGTCGCCCGTCTAGTTTGTGTTGTTGACATTACATAATGCTCTACACGCCCTTGAAGCCCTACAAAAGATGCGACGGGAGCATCTGATTTCGACCCACTGATAAGCACGGGGTTACTGCCGAACCGTGGACTCTCGACGCTGGTTGGGCTCAACCTCAGCGGCTGGCTGGTGGGCGGCCCCGCCGGGTCGATCCTCCCTAGGGAGGGGAGGGGTCAGACTGCCGACTTCTCCCTGGGGAGGGGAGGGGTCAGACTGCCGACTCCTCCCCGGGGGTGGACCTCAGACTGCCGACTCCTCCCGGGGGTGGGGTCAGACTGCCGACTCCTGGGGGTGGGGTCAGACTGCCGACTCCTCCCCGGGGCGGGGGTCAGTCAGACCATGCGCTGCTGCTCACACCCAGCCATCGTGTTTCAGGGACGACGACCGAAAGCGGAAGCTGAAAGGACCTGATGGCGTCCCTGGCCAACCAGGAGGGAGACTTCAAAGCGCATGAAGCGTCAAAAGTGATCGAGCATAGCTATCGCTGGGCCTGTCCTGTTTGTTGTGGAGGAAAATACACGCTCAGTCTGGTGCTGGTGTGTTATCCTTACAACCAAAGTGTTGGAAGAGTGGGTGTGTTTGGCGCGGGCGATAGGCGTGCGGTGGAAGTAGCGCTCGCAACCTGCCATGTCGCTGATCTGCCATAATCCGTCACGGAAGACTTGACTGATGGCTCCCCAAGTAGAAGGACCGCGCTGGAACGCGTCTACCTTTCAAGGAAGGGTGGGTTCCTATTCCATGCCGTTTTTCGTCTCATCTCAAGAGAATGTGGAACATAATTAATATATTGAACAAAGTCAAATCCATCTGGTGCCAACTTCATCCCAGCAATGGTTACTTCAGGGTAAGGGGTCCTCTGTTGTGTTTTGATGCGATGGTCTATAACGTTGCTTTGGTTGGCTAATGTTCGTTTCCATTTTCCCTGGCATCTTTTATCATTGGTCGCTCTCCTGCTATCGGCGTGAATGCCACTGCCAGTTGGATGTCGGAGCTGTTCTGACAGATGGCCGCCACGGTAGGAACTTCACAAGGGCTTGAGTGGTCTCGATCACGCAAATCCCTCAGCAAGAACGTGTTGCCTCGAGGAGTTGTGTGCAATGATTTGACCTGTATGCAGCACAATGTGTTTCGAATGGCGATCATCTTCCGCCTCTGATGGCCGCAGATCGGTCCTACTAAGTGCGTTGTTCTCCAATGTAAACAGTGATCAATGGGGAAATATTTGCATAATCTGCGAGAAACATACACAATGAATAGTTCCACAAAACCTGCCCACAATGTGGGACGATATGCAAACACTTGGCTACCTTTAACAACCCATAAACGGGGGCAAAATCTGCATCATCGGCACGCTCGGCTGCACGACAAGTGCGCCGACATAGGCTGCTGACGGACAGGCAGTCGCAGTTAGTCAACACGACCACCATGTACATAACGCCAGTCAGTTCTGAGCCGGCCGGAGCAAGGGCGCCAGTTGGTGGATCTGTGTCCCTTCTGAGCCTGGCTCGACCGGAGCCCGCGTCAGTTCTGAGCGGCCGGAGCAGAGCGCAGTGTGTATCTGTGTCCCCTCTGAGCCTGACTTGACCGGAGCCCACGTGATTCGATCAAGTCTGGCCGGCCGTCCTCAGACGCCAGCGTTATGAGGACGATGTGGCTGACAGGTGGATGGCCAGGAGTCCCCCTGTGAGCCGCGATTGCCACTACTGGCGGCCTCACGCTCTCGAGGTCCCGATACCCTCCCCCTCCACCCCCACCCCTCCAACCTCTGACTTGTGACGAACCCGTGGGTGCAGTACGCATATATGGCCTCACAATACTGTTTGCAATCTCTCGAGTAACTCGAGTAACTACCACAGCTGCTGTGGTGGTCACTGGTCAGGTTTTCTTGGTCGGCGGGCAGAAGCATGTCCTCGTCATTGACGCGTAGCAGTCTGATGTTTCATGATCGGGGAGCGACTCCACCAGATCCACATCATCGGCGGTTTCTCCGCGTTATGTTCCGTAATGACGTGCCATGCCCTCATAGTCGGCCACAGCGGCTAAATGTCCTCTCCGTTGACGGACGGTCGGCCCACGTCCTCGGGGTCGACAGGGGACCGCGCCCTTCACCAACGGTAAACTCTCAGCCCACGTCCCCGTGAGCAATGCACGACTGCTCGATACACTCACGAACAGTGGACCACCCACTCACGCCCTAGTGATCATATGGGGGCCGCGCCACGTCCTCATGGATGGCAGACGACTGACCCGCGTCCTCGCGGTCCAGGGGAGACCGCACCACGTCCCCATGAATGTCAGATGACTGACCCGCGTCCTCGCGGTCCTGGGGAGATCGCACCACCTCATGAACGGCGATCGACTGCTCCATGTCCTCACGATCCCGCCCCACGGAGCACCGCTGCGCGCCCTCGTGCGCGCCCTCCAGCGGCAGTCAAATGTCCTCCCGCTCGGCGACCTCTGCCGGCGGCGGCCGCAGGTGCCAGGGCGGCGGCAGGAGCGCGAACGGCGGGTACAGCGGCGGCGGCTGCATCGGCCCGCGACAGCAGCGCCTCCACCGAGAACGGCGACAGCCGCGACTGGTGCGCCGGCGGCGGCGGCGGCGCCTGACACAGCGGCACGAACGCCGAGCGCTGGCCGCTGAGCAGGAGCGGCGGCCCGGCCGCGCACGACGCCTGCAGCGGCCGCAGCAGCTGCTGTCGTACGCGACTGCCCGTGCCGATGAAGTGCTCAATCGTCTTGATCAAGTCGTTGTGACACGCCTCGAGCCGCTCCTCGAGCACGCCTGTCTTCTGCGAGGGGAAGATGCGGCGCAGGATCTGCATGTGGCTGAACCAAGACGGGTCGGGCCCGGCCGGCTCGACGGCCGGCTTGTGGTCGGGCCGGCTCTGACTGGTCACTGCCGGCGTCGACCGCCGACTCCGGCGCCCGGCACTCCTCGTCGCTGGTGGCTGACTCCGCCTCTGGTGGCCAGCAGAGCGGAGAGAGGTTAGCGGCCGACCGACCCTCATCCCAGGCACGACAGCTGAACACCGACATCGGCCGAAGCTGGCTGAAGCATTTGACGTGTTGCGGCAGGATAGCATACAACGAACTGATGTCATATTCGGGCAATCGCGAACTGTAATCGATCGGTATTTCAAATCCGTATTATGTGTCCAGGTGCCTCTGGTGCCCGTCCGGGCCTATAAGTGCACGATGTCGGATCACAGGAACGCAACCGTTAGCTGCGCTTTACTGTCAGCGGTAAGTCGGCCAAATCCGTGACGATGCCACCAACCAGGCTCCACTTCAAGTGCCTTGTGATGCCCTGATGCCCCCCAAAAAACACTAGCGTTTAACTACATCCCAGCCCCGCAAATGGGAGTGACGCGACATGATGTTATGCTTTCTGGCGTTAACGTACGATTTGTTGCGTCGCTGGAACAGGAGGAGGGTAGCTCCTGGCTACCTGTTCTTGGGTAACAGTGTAGAAAAATGATACTTGACCTTCACACTACATGCATCACACCCATGCCCTGATATGACACAGCCCTGCTTGCGGGTCAAATAGCGGGCGCATGGGCCGCCGCGGTGTCTGAGCGAGTGTGCTCTGTCAAACGGGAGGGCGGCGCGCCCGCAGCCCGGCCAGCGGAGGGTCGCCGGCGCCCGCGACTCCGGATCACCGACCACGGGCTACGCAAACAGGGCGCCACTCAGGCCGGCCCAGTCAGCTCCGGCGGCCGGCCACAGTATCCTCGTCGTGTTGTTGTTTTACATGAGCCATATGGCGGACAGGCGGGAATATTAGCCTTCGCGGATTTGGGGTGACGTTAATGCGGACACGGCGGTGACAACGCTGTCTCCCCCCCCCCCCCCCCTGAGGGGACGCTGCTACAAGTCAGAGACAAGAGGGCGGGCAGGTCCATGGAGGGGAATCAGCGGACTACGGTGAGTGGTACCAGTATGCATGTAGGGCTCAGGAACATATGACGACGTGGACAAGATTGTCAAAAAAGACATGAGCAATGCAAAGTGAAATAAGGATAGCCGTGCGACGTGTGACTACCACTACGTGCACAAAAATATTCTGGCGTAGTATGCAGACTGCGAGCGGTGCGTCTGGCAATAACAGATCTGCGCGTCTCCCCTTGTACACAACAGGTCATATATTGGACGTGCAAGCCACAGCGCACGAAGCCAGCCGGCGAGAGCTTGAGCCCCTGCACCGGCTTCACCGTACCGGTGTCGGCCACGGGTCTGCCGCCCTGGGGCCGGGTGATGTTCATGCCGAAGATGGGCCCGGGCGGCAGGTAGGCGCAGCTGGAGCCGGTGGCCACGGCGCGCAGACCCATGGCGATGGCGTCCTCGGCCGCCTGCTGCCTCTTCAGCGCCACCTGCGGCGGCGGCCACGGTACTGCCACGGGCTGGAGCGGGACGCAACGCTCCGACAGACGGGAGCGGGACGCTCCGACAGACGGAAGCGGGACGTAACGCTCCGACAGCCGGGAGCGGGACACAACGCCCCGATAGACGGGAGCGGGACGTAACACTCCGACAGACGGGAGAGGGGCGTAAAACTCCGACAGACGGGAGAGGGACGTAGCACTCCCACAGACGGGAGCGGGACGCAACGCTCCGATAGATGGGAGTGGGACGCAACGCTCCGACAGACGGAAAA